CTAATCCCACCTTTTTCAGTCTCAGTGACTCTTATCATTTATGTCCGTGTCTCATAACACTCGTCAATTCTCACGTCAGTTTAAAAATTATTATCTCCTTCAATCTCGCCTCCATTTTGATGTCGAACTAGGTGACTATTTTAATGATGTAAATTTGTGAATGTGTGTGCTGATTACACTTGTACAGCTTTTCAAATTGAAATCTGCGAAAAAGTGCCTTTGTTAAACCTCTTGGTTTTCTCCACAAAGATGTATTAGATAAATCAACTTTCAGTTGGCACAAGTTAAACGGTTAGGCAATGTCCATTTTTTGTTCAATTCTATGACAAGAAATAACAAAGTAGGGGGAACTGCGTCTGTGAAGGCAAATATTAAGACTACGAAAATAAAATTAGCCATACAAGAATTATAAATTTTTAATTTGATGGCACACTCTAGAGACAAGTAGGCTAGGTGGCAATGGGTTCCCCACTGGGACCTATGTTGGCAGATTTCTTTCTAAGTAAATAAGAGAATGGTCCTTTGAACAGCCTAGTAGAAAAATTCTCATTTTATTGCCAATATGTGGATGCCATTTTTACTTTTGTGATAATAATTCAGATAGCAACACATTAGGTACTCATTTCAAAACAGTACATTCTGCTTTGAAATTCACTTGTGAAGAGGAATCCCAAAATAGAGTTGCCTTCCTGGATGTCTCCGTTGCAAGAGAACCAGATGGTGGTATAAGGAGAAATCTGTATAGGAAAAGCACATGGACAGGACAATATAAACATGTTCGCAACTTCATTGCTCTTCAGTTTAAACGAAATTTATTAAGGACCCTCAGCCACAGGGATAATTGAAGACGAACTAAGGATTGTATACGATATCTTGATCGAAAATAGCTATCCAGCCAAATTCGTCAGGAAACATATGACTGACAAAGTTGAAAAGGACTTCTCACTATTCGTAAATAAGTAGCCTTATATATACGACTGCAATTAAAGGGCGATATACCTAGTGAAATAATTACAATGAAATTAGGAAAATCTGTTCAAGGAACTTTTAACACTGGCAAACTACGAGTCTTATTTTTTACATGACCGGTTTTGATCCTTCGATTGAAAGATGAAGTACCTAGACTAGCCAGTTCTAGTTGTATTTGCCAATCCAACTGCGCCTGTTGAGCGAGTTATATTGCGTTGCTCTGGGCATTTGGTTTTTCGTGTTCGGTAACATCTAACTGTGTGGCTAAATACAGGTGTACTTAGAAATATCAATAGCTCCGTATTAGAACACCTGGCTCAAAATGACCACAAAGGCAATATTGAAGAGTCCTTCTCCGTCATCTACCGGGTGCCAAACAAATTGCCCGAATCATTCAGGTACCGCACACGCCAAACAGCAGAGGCTTTCGTGATTCGACTGAGACAACCAGTGTTCTATGTACAGAAGAAACAGGTCAAATCACTGTTACTGCTCTGGCATACTTTGGAGTTTACAAATTCATAAATATCTTATTACACCACCCTTTAGTTATGGCCATCCATCCTGTACATATAAATCCCCCTACCGCTTGTCATCACACTTGGATTAACTAACCTTTTGTTTTCTTATTTAAACGTAGTTTTTAGCCTACACACTGACAACACACACACAACGCACATGAATTTCAACCCCAAATAACCCTTTTTCTCTACCCCCGTCCTTGACAAGGTCACTCATCCATCTGAAGTTTATGATCAATGTGAACATTACTCCTGAGAATTTAAAAAACGGAAGGTTTGGGCGAAGAAATATTTGCTTTTCAATTAGATCCTCATCTCCGGCGCTACCCTAATATATATAGCATTTTTATTACAATACACAATAATTTATCAATCAAGTGGCGATGTGTTTGTTAACAATAATTATTCAGTGCCAAAATGTCAATGGGGTGATAATTAACGAAGAAAATGAATGGAAACAATTAAAAGGTAGAAATGGTTACAGCACGTGGATTGCATAATGCATAAAATTGGAAAAAACGAAGAGTAATTAAGGAATAAGCGTGTGCACAGGTTGAATACGTACTAGATTGTTAAAGAAAATAAAACTATTCGGACAATGATAACTCGTAACTAAGGATGAAGTGGTCATAAGAATAAAATAATTTTACAGGGATAACGTGTAATTAAAGATAAAGTAGTTGGAAAAATAATAAAATAATATGGACAATCATAATTTTTAAAGGTTTAGAGGGGAGAGGGGTGAAGTAGTCCGGTTTATATATTCATGTAACGATGGCCAGCCAAGGTAAGGAAAGTGGCTATACAAATTTCTTCTGAACACACAGGTTTGACTTCTTCAGGTGAATTCCCATTGCTTCAGCTGTATGTAGAAGACGAACTCGAAGATAATTTATTACTGTATATTCGTTGTCACTCATAACCATTTACTTTAGTATTACAATTTTACATTATACTACATACATACATTTTGGACTAACATCTATTAGCAGTCTACTTGGAAATAATTTTCTGAAGCCTGATCCAAGTGATTCGATGTTACTATTTTAAAAACCACTAATGTTGTCATTAACAATCATTCTATCATTTTAATGGATAGATATCTGTACAGTCTGATGATGAAGTTATAGAAAAGGATATTGTTTGTTCAATGATCAATCTTTTGCAATTTCGAAATGGTATCTTTGATGAGTTTTCAGAAAACTGACAAATTACCATTCCCGTCGTGCATTGGGTTCAAACAGTATGAAGCAAGTGAACAACAGGTAAAGTTCATGACCGTCTGAAGGAGCATATTATCGAATAAGGCATTTTAACTTCACAGGTAACAAGATAAAAGGACAAATGTTGGGCGATTGATGAAAATGCACTCCCTTCCTTCAAATATTTTGATTCTTAGAAAATATTTAAATACTTCTACAAATACAATAAGATATTACTTATTATCTATCTTAAATATTTGAAGTGATTCAGTTCAGTTGAGATTTTGGGTCGTATTTCACAAACTTCATAGTGAATACTTCCGTTTAAAATGTCCATTGACATTCTACATGATCTGTAACAAGGTCATCTACAGTGCATGTCTACAGCAAAATAATACTGCAGCCATAATGAAATTCATATTTATTTTTAAATGGAGAAACCCTCCAGATATCTTTATTCTTTTATCTTATTAGCCTAACTCAAATATTCATGTCGAACAATTAGTACAATTTCAAAAAACTTCAATCAAACAATCTAAAGTCTAGTGTGAATTAAAATGGTTCGTAGAAATGCTTAACTAATTATTCTTTGTGGAAAAAAACACCATGGTTAACCTATGTGTTTAAATGAATTCATTTTAATAGAACAGTGGTTAGCTAAAATTGTGTTATTACTATTATTTCCATAAGTTGCTTGAGGAACATGGGGCTTCAGTAGCATGTTACTATTTCAGCCTATTCACTATAGTCCTCTAAAGCTGACTTCATGGTTGAAGTTTAATCCCTTTTCAAGTAATTTTATTTCATCAGAACTCAGTGCTCGTGTTTGAGGTAAATCACCCACTTGTTTTGTTTTATCGATGTTTGACAGCATTTCATTGTTGAAATCTTTCTCTTTAACGGGATATTTTTTTCCATTAATTTGTTAAACTTTCTAATTTGAGTGTGTCTGGATTTACTGAATGCAGTCGAACTTGACATTTCAGCTATCTGGAGTAACTTTGAAAATCCTTGTAATTCACAGTACTTTTCAGTTTGGATTTCAATTGCTCAATGTCAAGTCTGATGGCAGTTAGTTCACTGATGATTCTGTGGATCTCTTCATTTCTTTCGAGATATTTGTTGAGTCGTAGGTTCTTTGTCGGTTTGCCGCACTGCTGTATGCATAGTAACATTCATCTAGTACGTTTGAAGTTTCTTGCTAATAATAATAATAATGGTTCTTATTTTTATCCTTCCCTTCACTTCATTGATATTTGTTCGAAGTGAAGGGAAGGATAAAAATAAGAACCATTATTATTATTATTAGCAAGAAACTTCAAACGTACTAGATGAATGTTACTATGTGTGTGGTGCATACAGCAGAAGTCAAGACTTCCAGATCATATGAGTGCAGTATTGTCTGGGATCCAGAAATAAACTCTTCATAGTGACTAAACATCAGTCACTATTCATTTTGTTGTTTACATTGTTTACTATATTATAGTTGAGCCGCTCCCTCTGGAGGTTATCGACGAAGCTCTGATGTTGCTTGTTATTATGCACCTATTGGAAATGTGTTGGTTGGGTGCTGATTTTGAGATCTCTGCAGATTTATGATCCAGAAACAACAACGTTCAGTGTGACATCATGAACAATGTGTTCATGAATTTCTACTGATTGACGACATTGTTGGATCACGAAGGTTTCATGAAAGATGTAAAGGAAGGTTCAGTCTCAATATATCACTGAAATGTATGGATTGATAAGATTAACTGTGTATTTCAAGTACTGATATAAACATAATTTCCTGTCAATATGTACATAACTCATTTCCTTACAATATCAGATAGATGGGATTACTTCCCACAATCTGTTTGTCTGTCACACATCCAGGCTCACATTTCAATGGCTTTATTGTAGAAAGTAATTTCAAGACACACATGAATATGTAACTGACATTCGAATATAATCATGTAAGCTGGTCGTACATGATTGGTTATCTAACTAATCGACGGATAGATAGACAATGATTATATATGTATATAAATATATTAGTTGAGAAGTGAAATTCATAGTATTTTAATTTTTGAAGTGTAATATCCCGTCAGTGATGATGATGATTGTGATTATGACATTGACTGTTTTGTGCTGCAATCACTTGAAGACAAATTTTCATTCGTACGAATGCAAAGCCATTTCATATCATGGGCACAACGAACAACTAACGAGCGATGAAAGAAGAAAGAAACAGTCAAAAGTGATCAGTGACTCTAAATACTACCAACGCGTAGGTGGAATTTATGTTGAAGATAATTGTATTAGGTGATTGTATTCACAGTGATACTGGTCATAGTCACCACGGTCATTGTGATGTCCGGTATTTACTTGTAAGTACCTCAAGTTGCTTTCAAAGTAGAAATTGTTTTTATGTTCAGTTTTGATTTTGTATGGGAAACAAAATATGGACTCCTGGTGATAGCGATTTTCAGGTAGGTTTAATGAATCCCTAATTATTCGTTGTTGGCATTATGTAAAGTATAATTTATAATGTTTATTGATACATCTACTGTGTGAGAAATCGATGGTGCCACTTCACGTCTTTCAGGATCCACCTATGCATACCAGTATTCACAACTGTAATAACATTCAGTTCTCGTAGAGCTCAACAGCACAAGATGGACACTTGTTTGCCAAATATACATTCGAATATTCTACTTTCAGTTTCACATCAGCATGAAGAATAGCGAAACGACTTCCGAATTCCCCACTGCTCACGGCAGTTTTGCTAGGAAAACAAAGAATATACAAATAATTATTTATGTGTTTAATACCATCAGTTGCAGTCAACTTGGTCTTAACCACAGATTGATACGAGTAGTCTGGAAATCACTCAAGTAAAGCAGCAGTTACGCTAGCCAGGTCGCCGTAATCGCAACATTCCATGTCGTCTACAGTCGCTTTACTTCGAGGTTATGTGTAGTTTACTCAGGCCGACCATCTAGATGGACCTGATTGCTTCACAATTGCTCATGTCATTCATAAGCCTATGTCGTGAAACACTTTCATAAGTTCATTTAATTCGAGGTTGTTTCCAAGCCAACAAAGGTAATATTTATGCATAGAATGTGATGAATAAAAGAATTCTAATTACAAGGTAACTACTTCAAACTGGTTCATTTTCATTCCCAACTTTTTCTGAATACAGCCCCTTGGCCATTATAGTTGTCTTCGTCCTTCTATTCGTCGATGCAACACAGGATAAACCATTCGTTGGATTCATTTTCCTATGCTTTTATGTAAGTTATATCTGTGCATGCCTATAAGGAGTGGTGTGTATATTTATTTCACGTATTTCATTTTTAAATACTACAAAGGGAAATCACAATTTGTCATACAATGACATGATTAGTGATGACATTAGTAGAATTACTGTGATTATTAAATGAATACTGAACCACTCAGGGGTCATAATGACTAGCTTCAAATGATGAAGCAATGACGAATGATCCAGAGTTCTGGTGCCTTCAGGTTTCAATCTGAGCTAAAGTCCATCAATCATCAGTCCAAATGTCTTGGTGGACTGGTTTATGACTGCAGCACCAGATATCATAGGTTCGAAAATCTGAGGCTGGATCGCAGATAAGCATTCTGGATGACTAGCACCATGCATAGAACATGGACCCAGGCAGGTTTCGCGCTGATTGCCTCATTTTACATACTTCATGGGTAAAAGTATATTAGCACACTTATTTTCTCGAATTAGGTTTGTGAATGACATGATGAATAGAAATTAGTGTGATTACAAAACAAATTTGTAATTTAGAAATACATTTTCTATTCATATTCTCACTTCTATTTTCATTTCTGCTATATACACATAGGCGATCTTTTTGGCCGTTATTTTATATGTACTCGCAACGCATGAGGTAAGAATAGTTTCCGTGATTGTTTGGTGTGTTGTCCTTCTCGTGTGTGCGCTGGGATTGTTTCTGGGATACAAAGTCAAGACTGATCTGACAAAAACTGCAGAAGGTTATATTGGATACTTCCTGCCGGTGTTTCTCTCAGGAATAATTCTTGCTGGAATTTTTTTCATAAGGCGCCAAGAGATTGTGAGTAACTTTCTTTTCTGTTTGCTGTTTCATATAACTAATCATCTTGTGGTTGAGAATTACACGTGAAAATTAAAATCAAGTTCAGCATTGCAAAATATGAGCGTTTGAAATAGTGAAATGCATGATCAACAACATTGCACTGAAATATTGAAAATAAGGAAGATGTGATGCACCTATGTTCACAATTTCAGGGTGTTCACTTATCGCATTATCAGGAGCTGAGAACCGCCATGGAGAATGTCAATAATCAGATTGGCTATGAAATAAATAAATTCAATTGTGTTGAAATCAAATATGAGGAATTAAAGAAATTGACGTTAGGGAGGATCATGAAATGTGGCTTCATCGTTTACACAAGGAAATGTGCAGATAGACGTAGTAATAGTAGTGTAACAGTAGAAGGCCAGACATGGAAGCATTGATCATTTTTCAAACCGCTATTTACATAGAAATAGCTTTATATTCTTTAATCATTCACTGAGTGTGTGATTTAAGGGCTGACATTAAACGGCAGGAAATATAATGTTCAAATACATAGTACTCCGTTGCTAACGCAGTATTCAACTGTGAGAATATTATTATGACACTAGCAACAAACCGGATGTTCAAATAGATATATTATATTCTGTTGCGAATACCGAAATGAACTGTGAGAATGTGTGATAATAATATTCCGTCGGAACACAACGTCTCTATCAAACCACCACAGTTGCAGTTAAAGTATAATCGATAGTGATTGTAATCGATGAAATCTCCTCAACGGAAATAGTATTGGAACCCAATCAAATGACCAGACCAACACAACCACCAACAGAAATACCACCAACCATGCATACATATATATTTAATTGGTAAATGAGAAACCTGCTATTGTCTTCATGCATCTTCATCGAAACGCAGTTTCCTCACTTCCATTACAATTTCAATTGCTTAATAATTTTTATCTCAGTATGTTCCACTCACAGTATTTTTTATTAGCATGCATGCCTTTATGAGTAGTTGCATACATTGTATTCACAATCGTGTCTTCCTTTGGAGAAATCACCCTTATGGGTGAATACTTCGTATTCATTTGTAAGAACGATGTGTATTAGATTAAAGCCTGATCAGATTTGATTGAAAAGAATATTGCTACTCTACATGTGTGAATCCGAATTTGATAGTGTTCAAATATTTACCACACACGAGCTCACCTTTTATTTCAAAGTATTTCTGATCCAATTATATATAATTTAAATCTTCCCTACAGTACACTGATAGTATTCTGTTTCCTTCATTGAATTCTAGGAAGGATTCTTTGTCATGGGCATTCCATTCATCATTCTTCTTCTGTCAGTGAGTTGAATAATTCGAGAATTCACTTCAAAAATTCTTTGTAGTTTTCTTTGCTACCTAAAAGTATTCACATCGAAATATGTAATTGTATCACTGGTCGTCTGTTGTTTCCGTAATTTATATTTGGTAAAGAAGCATCATCGGTTGACATGAGCAGTTTCCGTGTACGCATGTCGATCGGAAACAGGCTGTCATTGTTCATCATGCGACCTTGACCTTGGCGGCCTGTTTGAATTTTTGGGCCTGCTATCATAAAATCTACATATTGCATCCAACCTACCATTTACTCCATTTATTTATCACCCAAATATGAATTCCAAAAGGATTATTTACTCTCGCAACTTTATCATTCATTTACGACCCAATGACTTTCATATTCCCAAGAAGCCATGGAGGAAGCATCGTAGTGGCTGGCAAAGAGCTCTTAAACGTACACCAATACACTTAACCACGGTCCCTGTCATAATGAACACCAACTGCCGCTCTCTGCCTAACAAAATTATGTACCTACAATCTTTGATGTCCACTGACACTTATCACAATACTGCGATAATCACATTACAAGAAACATGGTTACACGAACTGTACGATGACAATCTCATCTCTCTAAAGGACTTCATCCTATTTAGACAAGACCGAATATGTTGTAATAAGAAAAGCGGGGGTGGAGTTGCAACTTTTATTAACTCAAAATGGTCTATTTCTAATAATGTTTGCTTCTCATTCTCAAATGACTTCATAGACTGCATCACCGTCAAATGTCGTCCCAAACATCTCCCCAAATATAAACACATCTTTATCACAAACATGTACATTTCTCCAAGTTGCTCACTATCTAATCTTTCAAGTTTTGCCGATG